AAACCGTCTGGGAGAGGAGAGCAGTATTTCTACTGGATTAGAAGAGCTGGATCCACAAGCCTGCTTGTTTACAGGGTCACAGGGCCGCTCCACCTCACCGGAAGTCCTGCTGCCTCGTTCTGAATCCCAGAAACATGGCGCTGAGCAGACCTGGAAATCTCCTCTATTCTGTGATGTGAATCGGAGGTTTAACACGTCACTGTGTGCATTTTAATTTTATGGTGGTCTGAAATGCGCTGCTCACTGCCGATCCTTTCTAAACTCGAAATATAAAAATAGAAAAATTTCCCCTTTAACTTGTAAGTCCGACGCCTGATTGTTTCTCCTAGTCTGTAAGGCATGAGCAGCTGTAGGCAGATGACACTGATCCACCCTCTCCCAGCCCTGGTCCCTCTTACATCACCCTTCCAGCAGTCTTCCAAAGCCAAATATGACCTTTCTGCTGCCAGCCCTTCCGAGAATGGAAATGATTTGCGGACACCGCTGACAGATTCGCAAGGGCGTCGTTGAAAAATGTAACAATTTATAGAAAATGTGCAGAAAAAAAACAAACCGAAAGAGGGCTAAAGTAAACAATTTCCCTGACTTAGGGCCTACTGATCATTTACAAAGCTTAGAGGAAGGCGAGTTACAGGGGCATCTGAAACAGGAAAACTTAGTAGCCCCAGTTTTCATGCATCATCAGTCAAGTTGAGGCTGTCTGACCCATCTTGGTGCCTGTAGCTTTTGAGCCGAGGGTCTTGTGCAGCTATTATGTGAAAGGGGTTCCAGGAAAATCAACTGGGCGGCCTGTTCCAGACACCCCCCGCTCTTTGTGTAAAGATTAGGTGATTGTGCTCTTCGATGACCGTCCGGTGTTTGCAAGATCTTCAGAAGGAAGCGCGAGGGCCTTCACTTGTTTCTGGACCGGTAACCAGGTCTTTGTTAAAACGCTTTGAGATTCTCTCCTGCCGGCTCTTCCTATGCAAACGATATTTTAATCAGCTGAAGCTCGAGAAGGGGCCTTGTCACGAGCAGCTCCTCGGTGCCCACGCGTTTCAGAGCTGGGACACGCGCAGATCTCCCGTCGGGCCCCGTTCACCTCCGGAATAACGCACGTCCGGCACGTGAGCTACTTAGATCACGGGTGTTTTCTCCCGAATTCGACCCCGAATCGGTGCCCACATGCCTGATCGAAAGATCTCCTCTCTTCTGCGTCTGCTCTCGGTGTTTAATTACCTGTCTTGCTTGAGACGGCAGTGGATTTTCTGTTCAAGATATCCTAGAGAGTTTTCCCGGTCGTTTTTCAGGGTCTCTGACGCACTCCCACCTCCTCTCCTCTGCCCTCTGCGGTTCTCTATTGATCCCCACCCCACCCTGGTCTGTGGTGGCTCCTGTAAAACCTCTGGCAGGTTGCGTTTCGACCGTGTGACGAGTTCCAGACCCCGGGCGGGCCGGCCTTCGGCGAACCTGCAGGAATCGGGCTCGGAAAGGGCCCTGGCACGCTTTCAGAGAGCGATCGGAGGCAGGCGGGGGGGATTACTGAACCCCGGCAGGGCCTTAGTTAGACCACATCTGGAATTAAGCCTGCTTTCCAAGGCCCCGAGAGGAAAACCAGAGACAGGCGACCAGACTCACCAGGGGCTCGTCTCCGCCGACATGCTGAGGGAGGACCGTCTCTTCGGGTTGGAGCGACCAGACTTGACCGACTTTTTCGCTGGGTTTTTTTTTCCCCAAGGGGGACGAGACAAAGCTCTGCTCCTCGCCCGGTGGGGGGTGGGTGGGTGGGAGAGGTCCAGCGTGTCCAGGTTCTTGGGTCAGCCTGAAAAAAGCAAAGCAAAAAAAATGATCTTCTGGATCAGGCACATAAGGTGGTGGGGGGGGCGATTTCTTAAGGTCTTTAACTGAGGATTACTGAGGGGAAAAAAATAAAACGCGCTTTGGTTAAAGTTCAGTCACCTATACACAGTGAAACCCCCCTTCGAACCTGGTTACCAGTCGTCACTCGGAATTTAGACAATTCAACCTGATGGAGAGCTGGAGCACAAAATCAAATCCAAATCAAAGTTGATTTATCCAATGCACAACGATACGGCGTGCAGTGGGAGCTGCTGGCGCTGAAATCTCTTTTCTGCGAGCTCAGAAAATCACAAAAGCCACAAAATTGAGGTTCCGAAAATAAGGTTACATAATAATCGACGTAATAGAAATTATAATAATAAACTATTTTATACAGCGCCTTCAAAGGTGGCTTCTCAAAGCGCTTTACAGGATGACGACAACAAGAAATAAGAAGAACACACCAGATAAAACACAATGACAATACACAGAGGAGACCGTCGATGGTGGTACTAAGAAAAGCAGAGGGGTGAAGAATGGAACCAGTTCAGTAAAGGCTCTTCTGAAGAAGAGGGTTTGGAGTCTGGATTTGAAGGAGTTTAGAGAAGGTGACTCTCTGATATCCTTGGGCAGAGAGTTCCAGAGCTTGGGGGCATAACAGGAGAAGGCCCTGTCACCCCTACAATGTAGACGGGGCTTGGGGGGGACAGTAAGGAGGGCAGAATTCGAAGAGCGAAGGTTGCGAGGTGGGGAGCAGGGCGATAATAGTTCAGACAGGTACTGAGGTGCCAAGCCATGCAGAGCCTTAGAGGTGAGCAGGAGAATCAATATTGAAAATCGAATCAAACTCAATATGAGTAGGGCTGTTATGTGTCCATGGTGTATGCGATATATATCCAAGTAGTGCAGTTATGCTGAATACAGTGAAAACTGTGTGTCCGTGTAGCCATTACAGGTGATTTGCTGAAGGAGCTGCAGGTGGGCTGTTTAGCAGTCTTACTGCCTGCTAAATTAACAGAAGACATCAGAGCTTGAGACAACTCCCCCGGCCTGAGTCAAACCAGCTCCATCACAGAAGCAGAATATAAAGAAGACGAGAATCAAAACTTTGTGGTCCGAGTAGTTTTCTGCACGGAAACCAACTCTGTGTCCCCCAGGGGCCAATCGAGACTGGGCCCCTGGGATAAATGACTGGGGTTTTTTTTTGGTGTCACCTACATGACAAGATTTCGTCTTTTTCAGCGTTTCTATTTCCCCACGGAAAGAACCTTCGCAGTCAAGTATTCCCCTTCGGGCTGGGACGCGACGGTGCTCAGGCTGACCCGGCTTCGTTAATTACAGACACCCCCCCCCACTACTCTTGGCGTAAAGTCGTTCCTCTTACTAGGCGATTCCTGCCACCTCAATATGTTTGACAGGGCAGCACGGGAGAGCTCGGCGATTTCAAACGCCTTTTTTCCAGAAAGGTATCGCGTCAGCATGCGCCTTGACGTTAAAATCCCAAACGCAAAATAGCGCAGGCGTCAACAGTTTGACCTAATTACCCAAGGACGGCCTCTGGCATTAACAGGAGAGATAATCAGCAACCTATACTGAGTTTCAAGTTTCGACAGTGGGGGCGGTGTGGTGGCTCTGTGGCTCAGGATCTGCGTCTGTGGCTGGGGAGGTTTCCGGTTCAAATCCCGCAGCCGGCAGAGGAATCCTACTCTGTTGGGCCCCTGAGCCAGGCCCTTCACCCCAGCTCCTCCAGGGGCACCATATAAATGTGCTCTGACCCCCAGCTTCTCTCTCCCTGTCTGTGTGTCTCATGGAGAGCAAGCTGGGGTCTGTGAAAAGACACATCCCTGATGCAAGAAATTGGATAAACTGATCCTATCCTACAGTTCGGGTTAGCTTGAAAGCAGCAGGGCTCAGTTTTAAAAGCAGGGAGCACTGCGATTAAATCACAGATCCCCATCTTGAACAAACTCAGATTCCCCTCTGCCCAGAGAGAGAGAGAGAGAGTGAATAATATCAAATGAGGTACAGTCAACAAATAGGGCGCTCTCTGCTTCTTGTAACGAACTACAAGACATCACATTAGAAACCAGCAGCTTTATAACAGGGCAGAAATTCTTTCCAAGAACCATCATTTCATGTGAAGCAAAAATAAATAAATACATTTTGAATCCAGTAGCTATAATAAAGCTGTTTTTAAAAGGAGTGTCGTGCTCTCCTCTGTAAACAAAACACAATGTGCTGTTTCAGTTTAGTATTACATATCATGACAAATATTAGGGATAAGTTTGGAAAAAACAAACTTTAAAGGGTTTCCCTGACGGATTAATAAAATCTAATACAGGCCAAACAGACCTTAAGGAATAATTGTTGATTATTATTTAATTGTTGATTTAATTATTTAATTGCACAACATCGTCTACAGAGTTTCTCTGTGCCTCTCTATTTTTGGGACACTTTGAGTGTCTGAAAAGGCCCCATCAGGTGTCCCAGTGACTTGCAGGGCAGGATCCCTGGGTTCAATTCCAGACTTGGGGTGCTGTCTGGGTGGAGTTTGCACGTTCTCCCCTGTGATCACGTGGGGTTTCCCTCCAAGTACTCTGGTCTCCTCCTACCGTCCAAAGACAGGTTGGGGAGTTAATTGGCTTCTGGGAAAACTAGAGGGAACCTGACTGTGTCTAGATCTGC